GACCGAGGCCGCGATCCGGACAGGCGGCCAGGAAAGTGGGCACTGGAAATAAAAGCAGCGGGCGAGTGGCGGGGCGAGCCGCCCGGACCGGGGCCAGTCCCCGTCCTCGCGTGTCCGTCGGGGCCGGCGCGCAAGGGGCAGCCCCACACCCTGGGCACCCCGCTCACAGCTGCGCCCCGACTGTGCAGCGGCGCCGCAGTGTTTGAGGAGCCCTCAAGCCCATTGCCGCTCCCTTTCCTGTCTCAGTTCAGGCCTTTCCCAGCGTCCCCCACCTCTGCCCCAGCCCCCGTGTTCAGTTCTTGGGCGCGCTCCATCGCGCTGTGTCCAGGGCAGGACCTGGCCCGCCGCTCCTAGCTCGGCCTCGCCACAGCGCGGCTGGTTCAGGGATCCAGCCTGTCCCTGCCCATCTGAAGGCCGACAGACCTAGACTCAGAAAACTGGCTCGGGGCTGGTGAGGCGGGCAGGAGCCGGACATGCTGCCGGCTAATCCCTTCACGGGAAGCACTCGACGGCGTACGCGAGCAGCATGGACTAGGCAGGAAGGGTCGGGCTCGCGACTGGTTTCTTGCGGGAGAATGGGGCAGGCCAGGAAAGCGGGTTCCCCAGGGCTAGCGCCCCGAAGGACGCGGCTCCTGGGAGAGCAAAGCGAATTTCCAGGTCCCAGGCGAGCCCCACCGCCCAGACCAGGACACTGTGGCCCTCGCTGATTCTGTTCTTTCATCTTTGGGGGCGTAGGGGGGGGGAGAGCAGTGGTGTCACCTCCCTCCTCGAGGGATAAGGTTATATTTTAGCAGATACGGCAGCTGGAAGCCCGACGTCGACGCCCATTCACTCTCTCCCGGCCAGGCCAGAACGGGGGACCCCTGGGGCTGAGCGGGGGGCCAGGAGCCAGGTGAGGGAGCTCCCCACCCCCACTCCCACGGCGGGCCTCCCCAGGCCCACCCTGGGCCAAGCCTGGATGCAAAACGCTGCTCCAGGGCCCCGGAGCGTCGGGGTCTGCCCGACATCTTCAGGCTTAAATAACCGTGCGCCTTTGTTATTCCTCGGCAGCGAAGTGGTTCGTTACGCCTGATTGGTCTAATTGCTTTGAAATGGGATATATTATCTATAATTATAGAGCTTGGGGAGGAGCCGGACGGCCTCCGCTTTCATCTTTCCCAAGTGCACCCTCACGTCGCGATCAGTATTAATTTGGGCCACTTGAGGGAGGAGAGGGGGGCGGGAGTCTCTCTCCCCCGCCTCCTTCCGAATTGAAAGACGACGCAAGGGAGCCCCTGGCCTGGGCGAGTGGGGGAAGGGCGCGGAGGGCCGAGCCAGCCTGGGGCGCAGCGGTTCCTCCCTGGCGCCGGCGAAATCCACCGCGCACCGAGCCGGACCCCCTTGCGCGGCACTTAGGAAAGAGAAAGCATGTTTTACAAACTGCTAAGATGTTCGCGTTCAGGAACCGAAATCCCTAAGAGACATGCGCTCTGCCCAGTTTCAGGACGATAGGGTGTGGGGTTTTTTTTGGGGGGGGTGTGATCCTTTCGCTGGGGTGAATGACGCTCCCCCCTCCGATGCTTCTCTGCTCCACAGGGCTTTTTCCCGTTGTTGGGAGCGAGCCACTCAACGGCCAGAGGCCCAAGGTTTGGAGGCTGCAGCAGGTCGGGAGGCCCCTCCGCAGGTCGGGAGACCCGTGATGGTGCATTCTGTAGGCTCCTCAACCCCCACCCCTGGACAAAGTGCCTCCTCCTTCGCCCCCTCCTCCGGGCGATTGGTGAATTCCCACCAAAATAAATCGTTCCGGGTAATCGGTTTTCATAGCACATTCATTCTATTAAAGGAGACTGTTTGGGGCTCGCTAATTGCCCGGGGATCCCACTGAGCTGCGCATTTAAAAAATGCACGGAAGATTCCTGGGGCCCCAGCCACAAAATGCACTGAAAAGGGGAGGGGGAGGGGAAGAGTAAGCAAGTCTGAGATCCAAGCAGGGGCCGGGGGACAGCCGCTGCTTCTCGAGGCGACGGCAATGTCCTCCGAGTGACAGCCGCTGTAAAAATGGGGAACCCTGCAAAAAGGGACCTGGGCCCGCCGGCGACTCTCTACACACACACCCCGCGCCGCACACCACCCCTGGGAGACAGATGCTTGGGATATTGATGACAACAAAAGCCAAGCCCACCACGGTGTATTCTCCCCAAAAGTGGACACTGCACAATCGGTGTTCAGGACCCAAAACGGGAGGGGTGAAGGGTACGAGGAGGCGAGTGGGGAGGGGATCGCGAGGTCCGGGTGGACGCGCAGCGCTGGTCCCCGAGCTTTATCTGCCGCGGGCCAGCCCTGCCCTTGCCAGGCCTGAATTACAGCCCCGGGCAGCGGCGGAGAAACGCCTGGCGCGCGCCCCCGGGGATGAAGCTGGCGGCGAGATAACGGCCCAGCTGAACGCCCGCGCCCAGGAATCGGCCAGGGCCGGACCCGAGCGCAGGAGCTCCTCGCTCTCACGGTTCCAAACGTGTCTCGGGTCCCGCAGCAACGAGCGGCACGCGCCTGCGGACAGATAAATACGCCGACAAGCTCTTTAACTCGCTTCTGGGGGGCGGGGTGGGGGCGCTGGGCACCTCTCCCGGGCAGCAGAGTGGCAGAGCTCTGGAAACCTGGAGCTCCTCGGCTCCGCGCCTCCGCAGGCACGGCCTCCCCTCTTCACAACGATCGCTTGCGGAGGAAGCAGCCACGAACCCAAACCGAACCGCCAAACAAGACCCGGTTGGAGTTCGGGCCGGGTTGGGACAGGGACAGGCCGCAGCCCTCCTCCCGGTCCACCCCGGGACAGCGGGAGCAAGCGGTTGGCTCCCTGGAGGCGGGGGCGCGACTTCAAGGGCCCCTGCGCCGGCTGCAGTCTTTGATCGGGCCGCCGCTGGCGCCTAAAAACAACATCCTGGTCTGCCTATTAGGCGCGCTGAGGGATCGTGACAGATTGTTCATCCCCGCAATTAACGACGCGCCCCGCTCAGGCCTGCGGGGCGAGGCCTCGCCACGCACGGCGGCTCCGCTGCTCCCATCGGAGTTCGAGCCCCCGCTGAGTGCTAAAGCAGAGGGTCCCGAGCGCTCCAGTCGCCCTGGCGCGTAAAGTGTTTTTTTGCGGGTGTGCATCTTTCCTGGCTAGAAAAGTTTTTCACTTGCTTAAGACGACCGGGGATCCGGAGCAGGACGCACCAGCGTGAAGCCCAGTCTGATTTGTGGGCCTTAGGCGAAAAAAAAAAATGCGGCGGGTGGCCTGCGTTTCATCTCCGAGGTCCACCCGGGTGCACAGTGGGAGCGGGCTGGGACCAGTGGGCCCTTCACCGGCGCTCGCCATCCCCGGCTGGCCCGCTGGCCAAGTGTTGCGCCGCGACAGCAGTGCCGAACCTCAGTTCGCTCAGCTTTAAAATGGGGTCGTAGTTCCCTCGCGATTCCCCCCAGGGCGCCTTGCATCCAGCACGGCCTGGCCCGACGCGCGGCAGAGGCCCCTACGCCCAGCCAGGGTTGGGCTGCAGCCTCGGGTTCTCGGGTCACCTGGAGGGTCGATTTTGCAGGGGCACAGTCGTTGTCGCAGGGGGCTGCGGGCAGCCGTGAGCGCCTACCTCTGGTCTGGAAGTCCGCAGCCCGACCCCGCCCGCCAGACCTAGGACGCCGGCCGGGTAATAAAGTTCCCGCTCTGGTCATTCATTTTCTTAATCTGGACGCCGCTAATCTCCAGCTTTTATTGCACTCGGTTAAAAGGCGAGGGAATTCGCTGTCCTTCCGCGCTTGGATAATTACCCCTAAGTGGCCGCGGCAGCCCCCGTGTTTCCTGGAGATTAGAACCCGAAGTCGCGCAGGGCCAGGCTGCGGCCTGGGCTAGCTTGCAAAGGGGGCGCAGAGCCCCGGCCTGGCTTTGCAGACATTGGACGGCGCCAGCGGATTTTTTTTTTTTTCAGTTTGGTTTCCTCCCCTCACTTTTCTTTCTTTCTTTTTTTTGAAACGCAAAAATGAAATCACGTTTCCTCCGAAATGGGCGATATCAACCTGTGAAGTCCAGCTCCAAGGGGCTATCGACAGGGACCACACTAGGTTCCCGGGGCACACTTCTCCCCAAAAACGTGCTACACCCTCCCTGGATCCGCGATCCAGAGGACCGGGTGGCTAGTGGGTTGAGGCCACCGAAGGGCCTGATTGGCGCTGCTGTGTGGACGCTTCTGTTGGTTGATTTGATGAAAATAACGTCTACCGGCTTCTCTCCCCACTGCTTCCATCCCCGGGGAGAACTTCAAAACTGCGGGGTGGAAAATACACCTCGCCTATCAAAGTGGATCCCTATGGCCACGTAACTCCAGGAAGCGGGCGTGTGTGTGTGTGTGTGTGTGTGTGTGTGTGTGTGTTGCGGGGGACATGAAGTAGAGAGCCAAACTTGAGCCCACCTCCTAGAGAGAGGAGGCCAATTTTGCTTGACCTGCAAAGTTTGGAAGATTTGCAAGAAGAAAACGAAGGTCTCTTTAGATAAGACCTGCGCGTCCTGTCTACGGCTAAGTAATCACATGTATGCATCTATTTCTAAAGAGGAGAAGAATCTGCTCAAAATGACCTCAACTCTAGTTGCTGTGATGGCGAGGGGGCCGAAGAAGCTGCGGAAGAGACAGAGAAAGGGAAGGGGCGGCCGAGAGTGGCGGGAAGGGGGAGGGGGAGTGGATCAGTGGGGAGGGCAGAGGGGGCTAGCTGCGCGGAGGGAAAGTGCCCCCTCCTGCCCTGCACCCCGGGAACACAGAAACGGAGGCCTGGGGCCAGACTCCGAGAGGCCGAAAGTTTCTCGGCGCCCCCTTCTCCCCTCCGCCCCCGGGCCCGGCCCTGCCCGCTGCACCCCCGGGCCCAGTGCGCCTGGGGCGCGTCCCCGAGAGGCGCGGCCCAATGGGTCGCTCCGGGCCCGCCCCCTCGCGTGCTGATTGGCCGTGGCGGCGCCGGCCTCGCCTTATTAGCAAGTTCTCTGGGGAGCGGCGGCGCGACCCGGCCCCGGCGAGTGCGCCCGGGAACGCGGCCCTCGCGGTCCTGCTGCTGGAGGCGGTGGCGGCGGCGCCGGGGAGCCAGGCCCAGCTCGCTGGAGCTGGCCCTCTGGGCAGGGGCGGGCCGCGCGCGCCGGAGGACTCGCCTGGCCGGGGCCCCGGGCGCTCCCAGAGGCCGGCCGCGCTCCCAGCTCGCCCGAAGCCCATGCCCGGCAGCTGGCCTGTGCTGCGGCTCGAGGGGGGGCCCGGCTCTGCATGGCCCCGGCTGCTGACATGACTTCTTTGCCACTCGGTGTCAAAGTGGAGGACTCCGCCTTTGGCAAGCCGGCGGGGGGCGGCGCAGGCCAGGCCCCCGGCGCCGGCGCGGCCACGGCGGCCGCCACGGGCGCGGATGAGGAGGGGAGCAAGCCCAAAGTGTCCCCCTCGCTGTTGCCCTTCAGCGTGGAGGCGCTCATGGCCGACCACAGGAAGCCCGGGGCCAAGGAGAGCGTCCTGGCAGCCTCCGAGGGCGCGCCGGCGGCGGGAGGCTCGGCGCAGCCTCTGAGCGCGCGGCCCGGGTCGCTGGGCGCTGCGGACGCCCCCTCCTCGCCTCGGCCGCTCGGCCATTTCTCGGTGGGAGGACTCCTCAAGCTGCCCGAAGATGCGCTCGTCAAAGCCGAGAGCCCCGAGAAGGCCGAGAGGACCCCGTGGATGCAGAGCGCCCGCTTCTCCCCGCCCCCGGCCAGTGAGTAGGCAGCGCCCGGGCGCCTAGGGGGGCCCCGCGGCGGGGGTGCGGGACCCGAGGGCGCCAGGCCGCGTGCTGGCGCCTGGTTGTCTCTGCCGGCTCCTACCTGCCGGCCGGTACCTGGAGCCGAGCTGCGGGGTCCCAAGGCGGGCAGACCTGGGAGGGGGGTTGGGGTCGCGCCTCTCCTGTCTGCTACCCTGGAAGCAAGGCTTTGGCAGAGACCCCGTTTTCGAAGGCTCCTCGCGTGAGCCCCGCGATGTGGGTGGGGGCGCCCCGTGCAGGATTCTAGGGAGACGGGGCAGCCCCGTCCAAGCGACCTGGTCTGATCTTAAACCCGGTGACTTCGCTGGTACCTTCCCAAAGACGTGGTCGGGGTGCTCACTTTGACTTTTCCCTCGAATCCCGTTCCCCTGTCCACCTTCCTTCCCCCAACTCCCCAGCCGCCAAGGACCCCCGCCAGGAAGTTCGCCCTGGTTCTTCCCAAACTCTTCTGAAGCCAGGGCTGCACCCGATTCTCTGGGTAGGGGGATGGTTTGGGGGAGGGGCAGTCCGGTTTCGGAGTGGGGGGAACGGGGCACCGAGTCAGCGCTGGGTATGGGGTGGACGCGCCCCCTCTAATCCTTTCCGAGGCTCCCAGACTCTGGCCCTGGGGTGTTCAGGCCCCGCGCTTGGCACAGCGAGCGGCACGGAGATATTTAAGGAGTACGGGAAATTCCCGAGTTTTCCTCGTTTCCTCCGATTATTTTGCGCGGCAGAATGGCAGCCCGAATTGAATGGCGTGGCGCTGAGCACGGATTTCTGTCTGGGGAATGAACGTCTGGCAGAAGCAGCCCCTCCCTGGGCCTAGCGGACCCTCAGGGGCTGGCGCCCCCCTCCCCCAGGGCTGCCCAGCGGCCAGAAGCAGGCTTTAACTGGAGATTTCGTTGGACTCACATCTTGGTGGGCTCTGGAGCCAGAAGGATTGATCTTTTTCCATTTATTCTGTGTTGTAGTGTTTAAAAAGAGACAGTTTCCAGTGAGGCAAAAACCCGCATGGGACAACATACCCAAGTTTGAATTCACTTTCCCTGAAACAAATCTGCTGCACAGACAAGGCGCTGGCGCCCCTGTCCCCCCATCACCACTGTCCCCCTCCTAGTCTTAGGAATAGTTTGCCCTCCCTGGGTGAAGGCTTCTGCCCCAGCTGAAGGGTTGTTTTAAACGCGAATAGGCAGTGAGATGCCGCCTGGTCCCTGCCTGCTGAGCCACCTCGGCCTACTGCAGCACGCCGCCTGCTCCTGCCCTTCCCGGTGACTGTGGAAGGGCGATCGTCATGGACTGTCCAGGACCCTGTGGACAGGGTGTTCCTGTGAAAGGGTGGGGACAGGAGGTATCTGGTCATGGGCCTTGTGTGACCAGCAAAGTGCAGGCATAGAAAAGTTTGGTCAGCAAGTGAGAAGCGAACGTGGCCTTGGGCCAAATGCCGGGCCTCCTGCAAACCTTGGCTGCCTGGCCGGCCACCAGGTCTGCCAGCATCCTGGGTTGCTCCAGGCAAGCCCCTTGGAGGGAAGCCGCCTTCCCAAATGTCCAGTGTCGGCCAGCCACCGCTGTCGGGCAACCACACCTGTCCCCAGCTCTGGTCGGCCCTTGGACGCTGGTGCAGTTCCATTCTGCATTAGGGAAAGAGTTGACTTGCGTTGGTGTGTGTTGGGGGGATTGCCGTGGGATTTCCAGGACGTTCTGGGGGTGCTAGGATGCCAGTGCGGGGCTGACTGCTGTCTCTACCCCAGGAGCAGCTGCTCCCGAGCGCCCGGCCCTCCTAACCCCTGCCTCTAATTTCCTCCAGGGAGGCTGAGCCCTCCGGCCTGCACCCTGCGCAAGCACAAGACCAACCGCAAGCCGCGGACGCCCTTCACCACGGCGCAGCTGCTGGCGCTGGAGCGCAAGTTCCGCCAGAAGCAGTACCTGTCCATCGCCGAGCGCGCCGAGTTCTCCAGCTCGCTCAGCCTCACCGAAACGCAAGTGAAGATCTGGTTCCAGAACCGGCGCGCCAAGGCCAAGAGACTGCAGGAGGCCGAGCTGGAGAAGCTGAAGATGACGGCCAAGCCCATGCTGCCCCCGGCCGCCTTCGGCCTCTCCTTCCCTCTCGGCGGCCCGGCGGCGGTAGCTGCTGCCGCGGGCGCCAGTCTCTACAGCGCCTCGGGCCCCTTCCAGCGGGCTGCCTTGCCCGTGGCGCCCGTGGGACTCTACACGGCCCACGTGGGCTACAGCATGTACCACCTGACATAGAGGGTCAGCCTGCTGTGGCAGCCCCGGGCTTCTCCTAGCAGCAAGAGTAGCAGCACCCCACCCCAACGCAGCTCAGCGTCCCCGCCCTGCCCTGTAGCCCCCCACGCCCCTGTGCCCCTGTCCTGGTCCGCTTGCAGCTTTCACCCTCCCAGGGCAATTTCTCTCCTGCCTATGGGGTTGAAAGGGTCCCTGCACTCTGCTAGAGCCCAGCTTACCCCCGGCCCCGCATTTGGCGAATGGGGAAAGCTGCAGCCGTTGGATAAGGTCTCCGGAGTGAGCGACGGAAGCAGCCTGGAGGCGTGCCGCGTCAGTGTGGAGGGCAGGTGGAACCGCGCGGATCCGAGCGGTCGTGTGGAGGATTTTGGAAGTGGGAACAGGGTGCTGACGGGCTGGGGACCTCTGCCGACAAACCTTAGGGGTGAGGGGACACACAGATGCTTCACCAAGGTAGGTCCAAGGGACGGCTCTTAGGTCCCAGAAAACAAGTTGTAAAATAATAATAAAAAAGAATAATCCTGTTTCTATTTAACACTACATTGTGCGACCTCTCCAGCACCCCTTTGGAAGGGATTGTGTGTACTATGTAATATACTGTATATTTGAAATTTTATTATCATTTATATTATAGCTATATTTGTTAAATAAATTAATTTTAAGCTACAAGGTGCCATCTCTGTACTGAGTCTGAGTCGAACGCAGCTCCTCACCATCTGTCATCAAGTTTTGTCACCTCTGGGAAAGCTGCTGGTGTTCACAGGAGGGAGGTGGCATGCCAGCCTGCCCAGGACAGTGGGCAAAGTCAAGTGGAGAATTGAAACAATTACCTGGGATAATTAGGCTCAATTTTCCAATTCACTTTAACCTGAAATCTACACTTGCCCAGCCCCCCAGAACCAGCTCTTTTCTCAGCCCCACCCCCACTAAAGGCAGCTCAGGGAAGATCTCCCCTCCCCTACCCAAGCCTGTTTTCCCACAGGAGGGGTGGGCCCTGCATCTGCATTGACTTGCAAACAGGTACCCTGAGCTCCCCAAAGGGACTGCTTTCACTCCCTCCCCAAAGAGCCAGAGTCTGCAGGCCTCCTCCCACATTGTAAATTCTTAGCAAAAGCTGGCCTTCCCAAGCCTTGCAAACTCAGTGTTTTAAGTGAAGTTCAAGTTTCCAAAACTTACTGAGTATTTGCTGGGATATGGACACGGAAGGAAAATGCCCCCCTAATAAGCACAGCCACTCTGCTTCCTCCTTTCCATTTCGCTTTGGCTGTTTCCTGCCTGCCCTGTGCAGCCTGGGCCTCCATCCTGCTGTGTGTGCACGCGCAGTGGACAGTGCCTCGTGCTCCATATCACAGGGCTCTCCTTTGCCGCAGGTCAGGACCCCACCAGTACTGGACTGTGAACTTGGAGACCACAATTAGAGAAACGCTGGGGTGCAGGGCAGGGTGTTCAGATCCAGGGGCTGGAAGCAGGCTCAGGTAATTCCAAGGAGGCCAGGGTCAGGTGCGAATAACTCAGGCCACCTCCATGATGGGCTGCTCAGGGCATATTCTGGGGTCCCCAGGCAGTCTGGCTGAGGTTCTGTCTTCCCTGGTGTTGCAGCTGAAGTCTGGACTTGTCACAACTGGCTCCTTGCTGAGAGAGGGAGGTTTGGGACGAGGAGCTGGTGGGGCCAGTCCAGCCATCCAGACCAACTCCTGGGGGGGGGGGGGCTGGGTTTTGGTGTCTCAGCTCCCGGAAGTAGAGCTATGGTGCAGATGTGGGTCCCCGAGAGGGGCCCTGTGTCAGGCTGGGCTGCATCAGGCAGGGGCTGAGGGGCAAATGTGAGCACAAATGGAGGAGTTTGGTTTGTTTCCTTTCTCTGAACAATGAAGAACTCAGGGTGGGTGTGTAGGGCCCCCAGCGCTAAGGGTGCCTTTCTGGAACTCTGCAGCGGCCTTAGTATTGACCTTTAAGTTAGGTGTGGCAGCCTGTGCTTCCCGCCAGGCCGCCTGCACGACCTTAAACGGGCAGGAAGGCGCTATTCTCTGTACCTCGACATTCCCACCCGTGAAATGGTCTTGGGAATCTAACTCCACCTATCTCCCCAGCATTTGGGGGAAATGTCCACTAGCCTCCAGCCTCCGACGCGTGGAGGGTGCGAGGAAAAACTGGAAGCGGTTGCCGCGACCGCTCTGCCTTGGGATGGATGCTCCCGGGCTTGGGAGTCCTTTCCTCGCCTCCAGGAGAGTGGGATGGCGCAGCCAGATCAGGTGTCTCCTCCGCCCGGGCTCCGGTGCCTCTTGACTCCTCTGAATTTGGCAATTTAAGGTCGAGGTAAATTTAAAGTAACATAATTGCCGTAATGAGCAACGGCTCGCGCTCGGCAGACGCGCCGTGGCTCCAGCGTGGCGGTAGCTGCAGGCGAGCAGGGCTCGCTCCCCGCCCCCTCGCGCTCCTGCGCTGCAGTGGGGGAGACCCGGGCCACCGCCCGCGACCCCCGCCCACGCGCTCCTCTGCCTCTGGCTGCGGGCTTTGGGCCCTGGGTCCTTTTACTTCTGGCCTTCTTCGTCTGCCCTTATGGATTTTGGAGGGGTGGGCAGTCTAGCCCTTTTGCTGTCTTTTGTTTCTGAATCTCTCAACAGGGTTGATGGCACATAGATGGCGCCCAATATATGCGCTGGGACCGGAATGGCGAGTGGGTGTGGGCTGAGGACACAGCATGCTACCGTCCAGCCTGGTCTGGCTGGGGCATTGCTTCCCGTCTACTCCAGTCCTCCGAATTTACTCCCCGGATCGAATGAAACACCCGCAGGAGCCCGCACTTGGTTCCTGTGCGCGCAGTTTCGGAAGCACCGCTGGGCCAGCCCGGGAGGCTGGAGACCGCTGGCCTGGGCATGACTTTCCCAAGGTCACACAGGGGCAGAGGGGGCTCAAGCACCACACTCCCTGGAGATCCTTCCCCGCTCACTCGGCCCACCTGGCGAGGCTGAGAGTCACTTGATATCTGTCACTGGTCTCTTCGTGCACCCTGCGGCCGAGGGTCTTTTTCCTTGGGGAGGAGGCCTCGTACACCCGCAGCGGCCGGTGGCGTGGGAGCCGAGCAGGAATGAGGAGAGCGGGCAGTGGGGATCGGCACGCAGATCTGGCGTGAGGCCGGGGAGCTCTCGCTCAAAGCGCCTTGTTTTAAGATTCGTTCCGTGGTTCACCGAGCCCAGCACCGAAGACCCAGACGGCGAGTGTCCCTCTAGAGGCAGGGGTGTGTCCGCAGACCCCTACGGCTGCGCCTCCACCTCCTTTTCTTGGTGACCCAAGACCCCAAGGTGAGCGTAGCCCCGCCCAGGCCCTCGCCCCACCGGGAGCCCTCGGGGGGCTCAATGGGAACCGGCGAGGAGAGGCCGCGGCCGCCTTTCAACTCCGCGGCTGGCGCCGGCCTGGCCGGGCCCCCGGGGCCGCGCGGCCTCGCTAGCTGCATCCCGCCCTCCCAGCCTCTCACACCGCTGCAGATCTGGGGCAGTCTCCGACCCGGAATCCGGGCGCCCGGGAAGCACCTGACCCCTAGCCGGTGCCTGCTCTCCCGGGCACCGCGAAGCCACGGGCCAGGTCAGCGAAATCCCTTCGGTTTTCCCCTCCTGGGGCGTGCCTCCTCCTCCGCCTCGGGCTGCCCTCCTCCGCAGCGCCCTCCCGCGGCCCTGGGGCCCAGACCCCGCTTGCTTGTAGGCCCAGCTTCTGGCAGTCCCGGGCAGGGCTCCCTCCACAACGCAGCGCGCCTACGAGTGCACCCAAACATATACCGCAAACATGCTCGCATGCGTGCACAAAATGCAGCGCGCACCGCCAGCCACACTCAGCGGTACTGCTCACGACCTAGACGTACGACCCGGCAGTACGCCATCCTCTCGGGGCCACGCACTCGGGTCCATGCGGTTCTGAGCCCTGCACACGTTATGCCCGGGGGAAGGAAGGAGGGGGCCACGGATAGGGAAAGGTGGACCCTGAGGACAGACTTAGGCGGCTAGGCGCAACTCTGGGCTGGGGAGCGATAAAATGCAGGGAACACCAGGGGTGTGTGTGTGTGTGTGTGTGTGTGGGTGTGTGTGTGTGTGTGTGTGCGCGCGCGCGCGCGCAAGGTCTGGTTCCCTGGGCGTGTATCTATGGGCACGGACGTTTTACTGGGAAGTTCTGGGAGTCGGGTTGGGAGCCGCATTGCAAGAACAGCGAGAACAGTTGGGTCTCCTTTCTCCTGGAGCCCCTCTCCTGGCACCCCCTGCTCAGTAGTAACCTCAGCCTCTGGAGCCGGGCAGAGAGTCTCAAATGCCTTGTTCTGCGGGTTGGAGTCAGACCCGACTCCCTGCAGGCTCTAGGCTCCAACCCGGGCCTGCCGCTGGGAGCATCCGTTTAGCGCTCCCTCCCCAGATCAGGCTGGGTCCTCTGTGCCCAGTCACCTGTACCAGAGTCCTGGGTTTGACACTTAAAGTTGTGTGGTCCTAGGCGAGAAGCTGTGTGACCCTGGGCCAGTTACTTAATTTTCCAGCCCTCGCTTTGCCACTAAGAGTGTGAGATCAGAGCAGGTCTGTCATGGGAATAAAATGCAGAGCTCCGAGATCCTTGGCGCTGGGAGCAATAAACCTGGATTATGGGAACCAGCTCTGTGACCCAGTGAGCAAAACCACCCACCGTGGTGCCCCCTGCAGACTCCGGTTCGAGTCCGGGCCGCTACACTGTGGATCCAGCTCCTTGTTGATGGCCTGGGAACCACAGAAAATGGCCTAAGTTCTTGGACCCCTGCCATCATGTGGGGGATGACGATGCGCTTTCTGGCTCCAGGTTTCCCCTTGGCCCAGGCCTGGCTGTTGACCGATATCAGCAGATGGAAGCCATCCTCACCCTACCTTTCAGAAAAAGATCTTTAGACACGCGGATTGAAAGGTCTGCCCTCAAGCCGGAGCCTGATGGGGACAAAAGGAAAGGAGACCCCACTGGTGCCTGGGCAGCCTTTGCTGCCCCATCCATTATATGTACAGGGAGACTTATGC